TCGGGCCCAGGGAGCAGCCAGGGTCGGGGGGAGCCCCGGGGGGCGAAGCCATCGGTGAGAGCATCCCAGACCCTGCAGAGAGGTGGGTGGTGGGCGGTGATCCCAAAATTGTGTCCCCCAGAAAGCTGTCCCAAAACGGCATGCCGACATGCCTCAAAACACCCCAAAATGCAGCCCCAGAAACACCCTGAAATGTGTCGTCCCCCCCCAAAATCCCAAACCACTGAGATGCCCAAAATATCCCCAAACACCCCACATGATGTCCTAGAAGACCCCAAACGTTGCCCTAGAAGACCTCAAAGCTTCTCGAAACGTCATCATGAAATATCGCCTGAAATACCCCAAAATGCTGCCCCAGCACTTGAAATGCCCCCAAACATCATTTCGAAACGTTGCCATCAAAATACCCCAAAATAGCCAAAATACCCCCAAAAAGGCAATCTCCCAAAATGTCTCCAGATGCCACCAAAATGCCACCCTCAAACATCCCCGTGATGCCCTGAAAGGTCCCAAAATATCCTGAAATGCCCCCAAACCCCCAGAAACACCCCAAAATGCCATCCTAAAACACTGCCCCAAAGCTCCAAGATCCTCTGAAAGGCCCCAAAACACCCCAAAACACTGCCCTGGAACACCCAAAAATGTCCTTCTGAAACATCCCCAAATGCCCCTAAAGGTCCCCAAGCGCCAAAATGCCCTGAAATGCCCCCAAATGCCACCCTGAAACACCCCAGAATGTCCCCAAAAACCACAATGATCCAAAATGCCCCCCCCGAAATGCTCCAAACCACCACTCCCCCCCCAAAAAACCCGAAAATGCCCCAAAACACCACCCCAAAACACCATCCTGAAACATTGCCCAGGAACACCCTAAAACGCCTCAAAAACCTGCCCTCATACCCAAAAGAAACACCCCAAAATGCCGCTGCGATGCTCCAGAACACCCCCCAATTGCCCAACACCCCAAAATACTTCTGCGATGCCCCCAAATGCTTCAAAACTCCCCAAATGCTGTCCTAAAAAATGCTGAAATGCCCCAAAATGCAGTCACGGCACCCCAAAATGTCACCCTGAAACACCCCAACTTGTCGTCTTGAAAGAGCCCTTGAACACCCCAAAACTGTCCTGAAACACCCCCAAAACACGGCCCTGGAAGACCCCCAAAACCACCCCAAAACCCAGCTGAGATGCCCTGACGCCCCCCCCCAAACACCC